TATATAAGAAGTATCGTTAGTTATAAAAACCATATCGATTTCATTCCAGACAACTTAGAATCTATTTGTCTCGAAATTCAAAAACCAAAGTCAAAACCACTTTAATTGTTACATGGTATCGTCCACCAAATTCTAACACTAGCATATTAAAGGACTTCGAAACGTTACTGCGAAAACTAAATGATACAAATATTGATATTATTATCACTGGCGACCTAAATTGCGATATGATGGCAAACAGTCCCACTCATCATACAAAAAGGTTATCCGATCTGATAAATGAGTTTCAGCTAAAGCAACACATTACAAGTCCGACTAGAATAACGACAACATCTAAAACATTAATTGACATAATAATGACTAAAGCAAGCGATACCAAAATTATAGACTCTGGAGTGATACATTTAGGACTGAGTGATCACAGTTTAGTGTACATTTGCCGCAAAGTAGGAATACCAAGGGCTGAACCAAAAATTGTAGAAACAAGGCAGTTTAAATACTTTAATTCATCTGCATTTCAATACGACTTAAAAATGGCATTTCAAAATCACTACAACCTCTATAATTATGCCGACCCAAATCATGCGTGGGAGGTATGGAAAACTATTTTTCTTGATATTGCAAATATGCATGCTCCACTTCGGATTCGGAAAGTCAAAAGTGACCACTGTCCTTGGATGACAAACGAAATAAAAAACCTTGCGCATCATAAATTCTACTTGAAACAAAAAGCAGTCAAATTTAACTCTTCTAATTACCACGAAGCTTATAAACGTTGTAGAAATGAACTTATATAACAAAAGAATCAAAGCAATTAAGGTTCAATTCTACAACACTAAACTACAGGGTGTCTCAAAAAAAACCAAAATCATTGAAATTGACGTATTGTTCGATATTCAATGCCCTAGCACTAAGTTAATCCCACGAGTGCATAAAAGATTGACATAACTGCTATAATGAATGGTAATACTCAGCGTAAACTTGTTATGTCAGGCATAAAGTACTAAACCCACGAATGCATATTACGCATATTACAATTTACGAAGCATTTTTAAATTCCCATGAGCAAACAAACGTTCACTTTACAAAGATATTTTAATTTTTTAAAACAAATTAATCACCCTGTCAAAATCCTTTGTGTTACGGCATTGAAATTCGAACAATACGTTATTTCAATGATTTTGGTTTTTTTTGAGCATTGAAATAACGTATTGTTCGAATTTCAATGCCGTAACACAAAGGATTTTGACAGGGTGATTAATTTGTTTTAAAAAATTAAAATATCTTTGTAAAGTGAACGTTTGTTTGCTCATGGGAATTTAAAAATGCTTTGTAAATTGTAATATGCGTAATATGCATTCGTGG